GTAACCAGAACATCACAAAATGCTTACAGATAACTTGTTTAGTAATAACTGCTTGAAATATAAGGGCTATAAGTGCATCTTTCATAGCCACAATTAAGTCATTAAGGATCTCAGAATATCTTGGTGATGTGAAACAAAATAATTATTAAGATTGATATAACCTATGCAACAGGTGTAGTAGTTGTGTGACACAGCTGCTAGCTACTAATCAACAGAAAGCTGATACTCATTTTAAGTACTCTGACATTTGAGAAGGACTATTTATACTATTCTTCGAGACACGATGAACACTGATGTCAATATACTCTGATGCCATTTCATGCACTGAGCAATTAAGGCCTTCTGGAATTCCATGTGCAAATGTCAATTAAACTATTATCACATCTTCACCCAAGCACTTTTTACTAGGAACTTCATCAAAATAGATATAATCACCAGCAAATTCGGCAGCCTGTCTCATTCATCGCATAATGTCGTCGATGTGTAACGGAATATTTCAGTCATCCCGGATGATAACAGAAGTGTTTGACATGTTCAAAACACACATCTAACCTATGTCTGCATGCTATTTCTCTTTCACAGGCCAGATTCTCATAGATTCACTGGAATGACAACAGCCATTGCCTGCAGTGTATTTACGACCTTAATATTTGAAACAACTTGCGAAAAACAAACCCTCAACGCACTATAATGCAAATAATACTCTTTCTATGCGAACTTTCTTCAAAAGGATGACTTCTTCATTGATAATCCGTCCGAGCTATAATATACAATTTTACGCTTTACTATGAACAAAATAATGCCGTGTGGCTCCAGAAGTCTAAAACTAGTCAAATATGATCTATTTCCCAAAAAATAGGCGATTATAACGCCTGTAGCCGTGAACGCGGTAACCGATGTCGCTGCGCGATAACACCTGGTTATAGCGTATATCCTCACACGACGGCTAGCTACAACTCGAATCAACGAAACCGCGCAAATGCCGTCAAGGTTAAGCCAGAGGCGCCACTTCAAATAGGGGATATGCTTTATCAACGCCCATGAAGTGAATGTGTTGGCTCCCAGTCTCAGTGGGGACACCGTAACTCATTGAGGTTCACATTTCAATCCATCTGACGAGTTTTAAATGCGATAAAATATGCATTTTGGGGGCGTTGATAAAGCATGTGAACCTCAATGAGTTACGGTGTCCCCACTGAGACTGGGAGCCAACACATTCACTTCATACTCCAAAGAGTTGTCTAGGGAACCACCTTGACCATGGGATCCACTTCCCGCGTAACACGGATACATCATCATTTTTTAAAAGTCAGTATTTTTCTCAAGCATCAGTGGGAAAACCATCGCTCATCAGGGATTGTATATGATCTAGATGACGAGTCCCAAACACGACGAAATATGCATCCTGGATTCTGCTGTTAGTCACCGCCCAATAAATAACCCTATTATTAATCCTCGGGCGTCTTCGGAAACTTCGTACTGGGGACCTACATGTCATCAAAAACCAAACGTTTCTGTTCATTCAGTCAAATGTAAAACAGAAGATTGGGTGTGCAAATTATGTAGAAGCCCGTTGGACGCCTTTATCCAAGAGGCCGTAGGACTTCTTATGTTCAGAAAGTTGACGAAAGCTTCAGATGAGGGAAAAAGCCGGCATTTGGAACCGACGCCATGAATAATGATTCTGGACTAAGTCATAAGACTGAGACAGAATCACATCCCGAGGCAAAAGACACAACAGAGGTACAGTGCACACAAAAGTCTTCAGCAGCACACAAAAAGCCCCGAAAACCTATGAGGGCAAGAAATGTCGACATTGTAAGACCTCTGGGCGATACTACAGCGGTGAAGCGTTGCGTGTATAGTCAACGCACGGCTTCTAACTCCGGCGAGAGCAAAGTGGAACTAACTGATTCCATTTGGTTATTGTCAAAAAATAGGAAGCCGAAGAACTATAGGAAAAAGAAAACTGCTTTGCTTAGTGATAAGATCAACGATCACAAAGACTGATAAGATTGTGAAACTTCAGGACTCAAATTACAGTATCATAATTTGGAACTCGGAAGAATCGAAGGAGGTAGACCCAGCTACTCGACATGGTGATGATCTCGAGATAGTTAGCTCCATCATCCGTGAAATACTTCCTGAAAAACAAATAGAGTTCACATAAGGAAAGTCATCAGAATCGGTAAACGAATCGCCGATGCAGTGGAAAGTTCCTCACGACTTCTGAAGATAGTACTGGGGAACGAGATGGAGAAAAGTATTATTCTCAACAACGCATTCAAGATCAAGAATAAAAAGATGAGAATTAGGCCAGGCTGGCCTCTGGAAGATAGAATTAGGAGAAGAGAAGCCGTGGCTGAATTAAAGGCCCGATTAGAAAAAGGTGAAAAAGACCATAAACTGTTGGGTTTTCGGGTAGTGAGGTTTCGGAAACCCATGTTGCCCAGACCTCTATCCATAAGTCGAGTGAACACATATGTCTCCCAGTGTGCTACACGAACGCTTGTAGTCTTAAGAATAAGCTTCCCGAACTAGGAGTGTTGACTGATGATCTACGGCCAGGTGTGATTGCTTTAACCGAAACATGGTTGTTAGTAGGTATGGACTTAACTCCACTCATACCTGAGTACATCTGCATTAGAGCAGATAGAGTAAGTGGTCAGAAAGGCGGGGGGTTGCTCTATACATCCAGGATGACATAGGAATTACGCCGACGTTGTTGGAAGCTCATGACAGCGGCACCAGTGAAGCCGCAGGCTGCGTCATTAACTTGAACAAGGGCACTATGACAATTGGGGTTATTTATAGAAGTCCTACCAACCAAGCTGACGATTTCGTTCTAGATCACCTCAGGACTTGGAGTAGGAAGAATAGGTGTCTAATAATAGGTGACTTTAATGCCCCACATATTAATTGGGAGGAATTAACATCAGCTACTTCGTACGATTGCTTCGACAGGGAACTCATGCTGGCAGCACTTGAATGCGCACTTGTTCAGCATATAGATGCGCCAACACGATGCCATCCTGAACATGACTCTTCCACTCTGGGCTTAGTGCTAACACCAGAAGGAGGATGTCGGTAACGTTAAGTGCCTGGCGCCCCTAGGCAGTATTAGCAGGCAGATCAACAATAGCTATCACATTTGTGTTTAGGATTCACGCTGTCATACGTAAGTCAACAGCTGCTCGTCCAAATATTTGGAAAGCAAATATACCTGCAATCCGAAATGCGGCAACCCCAGCTGACTGGTCTGTCGATACACATCAGATTATCGAGGAGGCGTGGATGGGATTTGGGAATACAATTGATTACGTCACTTCACCTTTTGTACCTTGGTCTACGCCTCGAAAACTATCTCATAAACCAACTTGGATTAGCAGTGAAATAAGGAGGTTGTTAAGAAAACGAAAGAACTTATGGGACCGGTTTGCTGCGACTGGGAGAGATGAGTTTCGGATCGGATACCGCAAAATTCGAAACCTTTGTAAGTACAAGACCGACAAAAGTTGTATAGAGTATGAGAAGCGGTTAGTACTGGATTGTGAGCATTATCCAGAAAGACTGTACTCGTATATCAAAAGCAGGATTAAAACTAGCGGTGGTATACCGTTCTTTTATTAGTAATACTGGAGAGGTGGTCGAGCCAGACGAAACAAAAGCTGAAATATTTTGCGGTGTTTTTTCGCCCAATCCCACCACTCAGGAGTGTATCTAGGTAATTGATTTAGCCACTAAAATGTCCACAATTGTGGCACAGGACGCAGTGGTTCTCAAACTACTGTATAAGCTAAAGTCAGGTAAATCGCATGGATACGACGGACTTCATCCTAGACTGCTAATATCCTTGGCGGATATATTATACAGTCCACTTACGGAGATTTTCCAGATATCTCTGACCCAGGCTAGGCTATCCAGGGACTGGAAAGATGTTTTTATAAGCCCCATCTTCAAAGAAGCCAACGCTTATGTGAGTAGTTTAGTGACTACCTGATAGATAGGAGGCACAAGGCAAGGGGTAGGGGTGTACTGTCAGGGTGGAAAGCGCTACTAAGTGGAGTACCTCAGGGAACTCTACTTCGCGCCATGCTATTCCTGTTATACACAAACGAACTGCTAAAAATACTTACCACACCTTCCGTACTACTTGAGGACGGTACTAAGGTATGGAAATCTGTAAGTAGTAACGATAAAACGCTGGTAATACAAAACGGCCTAGATAAATTAGCTGAATAGGCTAGCTTCTGAAATCTGGGAATTAATTCCAAGAAAAGCGCGGTAGTGTATCTAGGTTAGAAGCCTTACACGTCGCACTCCCTGGACACAGAACTGCCAGATGTTAGGGGCCAAAAGGACTTAGGAATTATTGTAAGTCATGACTTAAAAACAGCGCCAAATTGTAACCGAGCAGCAGCTAAGGCTTTTCGAATGCTATGGACACTTCGAAGGGCTTTCAAACGATTAGACAAGAGTATGTTCCAATTACTCAATGCAATATATGTCAGACCTCACCTAGAATACTGCATACAAGCGGCGAGTCCATGCTTCAAAAGAGAGGCACATATCCTAGAAGGAGTACAGAGGGTAGGAACGAAATTAGTTGGTGATATCTCACATCCTCCTTATGACATGAGGATAGAGCATTTAGATCTCTTCCCATTATCATACCGAAGGAGGAGAGGCGACTTAATTTTGGCTTACCGCATATTGAAGGTTGGTTCAGGGATTGAGATTTCACACCTTTTCTCTTGCTCTAGGCCACCACTAGAAGGTGCTCAAACAGGGGTCGAATGAAATACTTGTGGAATTTAGATTCTCTCACAGCGTGGTCAACGGCTGGAACTCCTTACCTGATACATTTGTAACGGCTCCATCGGTGAACGCTTTCAAAGAGAAACTGGATCTCTGCAGAGATATACATCGCGAGGATTAACACAGGCAACAAGAGCCTAGTATCCTTCATTTCTGAATCTGACTTAAGCAAAACTATATTGGACATTGATAAGCAGAAGGTGGAGTTTTGTTGTTAGGTGCTACGGCATGTTAATTTGGACGTTTTGTTTTGGGACCCTTGTTAGTATAATTTTCGTGACGCTTAAGATACTTAACTGGAAGGTGCAGTGTTGGTTTTGTGGCTTTTGTACAAGGGTGCCATGGAGGAAGAAGAATTCTTTTGTCTGTCAACAGTGTGGTCAATACAATGGTTTCACACGCGATGGAGACTACAACAAGATTATTCCATCACAGTTCCAATCAGAACTGAATCCAACTTGTCGATATCAGGCTAACAGCAAGTTTAAGTCTCATTCTAATATTCTATGTTTGGACTGTACTAATAATCAAGCAATTATTGTCCAGAAGTTATCAGAATATGTTCCAAAATATAAAGATTCGGATGAAGAAATAAAAAGGTACGCTCACATGCTGGAATTGACCTACGGACTTTGCAATGATTGCCATATGAAAGTAAATGATAGGGTTCGCAAGGTGAGTGATTTCAAATATTAAGACTTCATTTACTTACGTAACCATGTACGGTTACGTCTGAGATAGTCTCTTGTTTTTGTGTTGCAGAAAATTAGTATCACTTAGTTGCGTAGTCAACTTATTTAATTTAGGCGAAGCCTAAGTGGATGTGATTGACACTAAAATGTCCGTTTCGCGTCATGAACTTCCTTGTTAAACGAGGTGAGATATTGCAGATTTATGGATCTGAAAAATTAAGAAACAACTGACAGTAGTTAGCAACTATTCATCATAGTTTTATGAGCACAGACTTTATGGTCTTCATTTTATTCAATTTCGTATACTTCGTTGTTGAGGTGTAAAACAGCACTTTAAATCACCATTGATTTTTATGAGAAATAGTTGAAGAAAACGTTCCTGGAGAAGCAACACCCTTTTTAACAAGTGCATTGCACTCTGAAGTACTCTGTCGTAGAGTGACTGACTAGCAGTCCACCATTCTGAACAACTGCAAGATTTGTCTTCAAGTAGCTATCACTCGTATACAATTGAACCGAGTTTTCATTCTAAACAAAAGCAGTATTTCTAAGTTGAACTGTACAAATTAATTAATTCATTCGGTTTCCTGCCAGTTAGTCATGGGTTCCAATGCAGATCCACCTACTTCAGCCTGGTTGACTATGTAGTATCTAGAGGTCCAACGTTAATAGTTTATATTCTGGTACATAGAAATAAGTATTAGGATGTAACTGAGTTCAAAAACGTGACAATACTGCATGAAACAAAGAGCAATAATAAATTACTTGACTTCGTATTTCCTGAATTTAGTGAAACCCTTGTTTTATTCAAGGCGATGCTTCTTGCTCAGTTCTAAATTAATGACGAAGTGAGCTTACAGTATGTACTTTGGCAAAATGGTGAGAATTAGTATTATGCAAGACCAAATGGTTAATATGTTCAGTATTTGGCATAATCCCAGATAGTGAATAACATTTTGAGTAGAATTTATTGTTAGTGTTCGTTTTTTATTCGAGTCAGTAAAATTCATTGTATGGAGTCACAGGTAGATTTCTCAGTGTCACTGCAATGTAATGCTATTGGCCACTAGTCTTAAAGCATCTACATTTATATACATGCATACAATACATACATACACATATGTGCATGCGTGTGGGTCTGTCTGGATTAGTATATGATGGAAAACGCTTTAGATGTCAGGAAAAAAAACTAATACCGTTCTTACTTTTAAGTGTTAGCACTTTCTTCTGTATTCAATATTCAGCAGGAAACTGTCGATGTCATCACATTAAGAAAAACGCATCAATTAATTGATGCTCCTTTCTTCAATCGAAGTGGTTACGTAATTTCGACATAGAAATTTTACTACTTACAATTTATCAGTAACCTCCAACTATGAAGTATAATCAGCCGAAGATAGCAAATCAAAAGATTCCTATACAAAATCCTGTCTAATAAACTTCAGATTGTTATTTAATTGTTTTTTTCAGTATTCAGGAGTTGAGCACTTTCGCCATCAGTTACTCAACTTGTCGATATTATTATTTCCTTTAATTCCTAGAGGAACATAGGGCTTCAGCCGCGCGTCTCCATTGCGTTCGGTTCTCTGCTAGAGTTTTCACCTGGCTCCAAGTCTGTCCACACGCTTTCATCTCCCCTTCACATGACCTCCTCCAAGTCACCCTTAGACTGACGACCAACTAGCCGCTTCCCTTTCGGATTGCACTCGAACAATGGCTTGTCTAGTGATGTCACTTGATGGTTTCCTCAGAGTATGGCTAATCCACCTCCATTCCCTCCTGCTTATTTGTTGCACAATCGGTTCCTGATTGGTTCGCTCATTGCCAAAGATCCCTGTTGCTGATCTTTTCTTGCCGGCTATTTGATCTTGAGTATTGAGCGAAGACAGCTGTTGATGAAGGTCTGTAGTTTGTTTGAGGTGCTCATCATGACTCCCCATCAAGACTCTGATCCGTATAGTAGCACTGACTTCACATCGGAGTTGAAAATCTGGATCGTATTTTTCATGCTGAGTGTTGTTGACTTCATTACAGACTTGAGAGTAATAAAAACTTGTCTTACTTTCCCGATCCTAGCTGCTTTGATATCCTCATCAGTTCCTGCTGTAGTTGAAACGATGCTTCCCAGGTAGGTCAGTGAAGCAGGTTGTTTCTTTCAGGTTCCTCCCATTTATGCTGGCTGATTGTTGTCTGTTGTTGGTCAGGAATCTTCATTGTCTACCTCTGTTTTCTCTATGTTCACCTGAAGTCCTATCTTTGATGCTTCTTTTGTCGCCAGCTTGTTGCTTTTCACTTGCATATCTTCCAGTTTGTGAGAAATCAGACATATATCATCGTTGGCGAAGTCCAGATCCTCCAAGTTTTTTGTGTGAGTCCATTTTATGCCTGTTTCCTCACTGCCCGCTATCTGTTGCATTATCCAGTCTGCTGCAATCAAGAAAATCATTGGCGATAGTAGACAGCATTGCCTCACTCCCGTCCTCACTTCGAAGGCTTCCGTAAGTTTCCCGTTGTGGATTAATTGGCATGCAGCATTGTCACAGATTGTTATTATTTATTCAAAACACAAACTTGGTGCATAATGGGCACCGACGAGTGCGCCACACAGAAATTCAAAGTTTGTGCGCAGCCTGAGATACTGTATAGACACCCAACTGAAGCAGGTGGTGGTCTTAAAATGCCACCCCAAGAACCTTTGACTTGAAGTTTGATCTACAAGACACGGGAAAGGTGTTCCCATGATTTGTGGTGACCAGAACAGGTTCATATGCCATTCAATCCTTTCGGATTGTAGAACCCATATACACACACCATAGGTTGTGGAATCAGGGTTTCCCAGCTCCCCTAGGTAGTAGGCTAGCATATCCACCTGTCCGGTTGTAAGCGCCAAAAGTTCGTATTCACCCTGTAACATTTGTGAGGGACACCCCGCCATCGCTGTATGAAGGCAGTGAATAGAAGTCACCTGGTAGAGGCTATAAACTCTTGGCTACATGACGGCATTTGAAGAGAAAGACCAAAGTCTACTCACCGTCAGCCGTACCAGATCGTATCTAATTTATAAAAGGTCATAATTTAACTGTCTGGATTTTGTGTTTGAAATACTAAAATCGAGTTTTGATTATAATTGCTATTTCATTTATTGTTTTTGTTTCTTGGATGTATACTAATAATTAACTTCGTATTATTATTCTCTTTAAACAGTTGGATTCGAAACTTCTACCAAGTTTTATTGAATGGTGGCATGAAAAACGACGTACAACACCCGTCACAGAGAATCCTGTTAAACGTAAAACACGTCGAAAATATTTAGCTTGGCTTGAATTGTTAATTGTTGTACGTATTATAAGCATAATATGCTTTGCATGCATTATTACCGGTCCACTATTATCCGAGATAAGTAGACAAACTTGTCTTGTTCATGTGTTGCCGGGGAATAAATCATACATGTATAAATTTGTCGAAGTATTTTGGTCTAAGCCTTGTCGACAATATTCTCGGTGTTATTGTTCACAAATTTTAGTCTATTCACAGCATTTATCACTTTCTAGTGACGGTCAACTATGGTTCACTTTACTATTACTTTGTTTACAAGCCACACTTATCATTGTAGATGGTTTACAACTAGAAAATGCCCAGAATTCACATCAACTTTCTATGTATCGTCATGGTGTAAAGTCATTAATACTTTTGTATAATGTGACAGTACTTTTAATTTCAGCAAATATTCTTTTATCTTTATTAATGAATTATGCAGGTTTCCGTGGGTTTATTATTCATCAAACAGTTTTGTCATCTAATTTTTCGGTAAAAATTTGGTTTGCACTTGGTTTTATCTTTCTCCTCCTGATTGTAATTATTATTCTGTTTGTTATCAAAATATGGTCATCATTTTTCGTAAAAGATTTTAAATCACAACATAAAACACTGAAAGAGACATGGCCTAATGATACTAGCACTCATGATAACAATAATAGTAATAATAGTACTTACTTAAAACATGTGATAGGCTTACAATCAAGTGATAGTATAAGTTATTATTCAACACCGAGTATTCGTCGTGATAATCATCATTCGCATTCATCAATCATTAGTAGTCAAGGATCTTTAAATTCAAGTCGGAAATCCCTTGAAGATGAAATGGCTGGAACAAGAATATCACCGATTACCCAATCGACAAATGCTTTTCGACCATCTGTGTTGGAGAGTGTCAACAGTTATTGTCCCAGTGTTACTGGATCCTACTACTCTGTGATGAATCCTCCTCCTCCCCAGCGTCCTCCGAGTTTGCTTTCAACTCATTCCAATCTGACGGGGCGGCGGAGAGTAGAGTCGTTAAGATCGAACGAGGATGCTCTAAGTTGTCTGTCAAGTGTTAGTCGATGTAATAAAGTTAATTCAGGCTATTACACAAGTGACAATAATAATAATAATGATAATAGTAACGACCATTTAAATTCTATTTCACCAACACATTCAATACGATCATCCTCCAGGAAGCGTAGATCTGGTTCATCAAAACGTAAACGAAGAACTGGTCTAATACGATTTATTTTATTTCTTTTGTTTGGTCGTCTTGAAACACGTCAAGATGTGTTATACGAATTAACCTGTCTAGCGAATGCTGTACTACTTAGTATTGTAATTTACTGTACATGTCGATTAATGTTTTGTTTATTTAGTATATTTGGTATTTAAGGCGGCGAAATTGTTAACTATCTATCTATCTTGCTTCTTTGAATGCATTTAAAAATTTTTTATATTTATTACTGTTATTATTATTATTCACACAATGTGTGGAGATGTTATGTTTTACGATGGTGGATAGTTGTTCGGAAGTATTGTAGATAATTGTAAATACTGTCGAAGAAAATATAATCCTATTGGTATGTTTGTGTTTGTCTCTGGTTTTATGTTAGTTCAGCAGGCTACAACTTTGTACTGTGTATCATTGTTATTATTTAAGAGTGTGAAACGACGAGTTAGGTGTGGGTCGGGGGGTGGTGATATGAAGAAGATCGAGTGAGAGAGAGAGCAGCAGATGAGAGTCTATGGGTTATCGCGAAGATAGCTAGACAGACGACTACTACTACAGAGAACAGTGTGGAAGAAAGATGGAGTCCTATGTTCCACTTGAGACCTAAGGAAATAGTAGTTCATGTTTGAGAAATATCATTCCTGAAGTACTTATGTATAAAGATAGTTGCAAGCAGTCAGCCACAGGAAGCATTGCCTAGACCTAGGTTGGCACTCAACAGTCAAAAAGGCGTATGTGCAATCACCTTAAAGAAACTCATATATCCCTTCGGAGATTATTCAAACCCTCGGCATCCATTGACTGCTGCAGCTTGAGACGTTACCACTGAGCTATTCGGGCTCGCGATTGCCTGATAGAATTTAGTTTGAACCGAACAAAGGACTAGGTACATTACACTAGTTACTAACTAGAGTTCGGCCAAAGTATCCAATACAGTCTGACAAGAGGTCAATAGCGAACCTGGTTAGCTCAGTGGTAACGTTTCTGACTGCAGCAGTCACTCTGTGACAAGAGTTTGAATCTCAGAATGGACATCAGTTCCTCCAAGGGAGTTGTAGATATACCTTGTTGACTAGTGAGTACCAACTAGCACAAAACCTAAGTCTAGACAAAGCTTCCTGTAGCAGATTGCCTCCAACCATCTAATATCAATAATTCGAAGTGCATCGTGATGGCAAGCCACCTAGACCAGCGTGGTCACATTGCAAACCTGACTGATAGAATTCAATCTACACCAAACAAAGGACTAGATACACTACACTAGTAACCTATCTGTTACCATCTGATAGTACGTGAAGCTTTGGCTCATTGGCTTAGGCCAAGTTTGAAGTCTGCTCCATCTGTCTGATTTCAGCATAGAACTTTGCACTGAAGTGTAGCAGTTCAAGTCACCACACTACCTCCATGTAGCACACAAAGCAAGAAAAGAAAGTAAAAAGGAATGCAAAATAGACACAGTAAACAGAGATATAAGGCAAAAAGATGATACTACAGGAATGGACTACATTGACTAACTCCTAGCTTAGAAATAGGGAGTAACATGGTAGAGCACGTTGATTGCTTCACTTATTTGGGCAGTTGCATCAGTCAGAAGCACCAACGGCTTGATCTCTGTCGAAATCTCAGCACGGATATAGAAGGCTAGTTTCGCATAGGCCAGTTTACGCCGTCTCTGGCGTAGATGTGATATCCGGCTGACTGTCAACCAGAGGGCGCGTGTACTCTTAAGCAGTCCGCTCCGTCCTCCTTTGTGTCGGTGAGCGAGATATGGCCAATGAGAGTGAAGGACATGAAAAGGTCAGTTAGCTGCCTTTGATCATAGATGCATGCGTTGTATCCCGTGTGAAGTGGTATAATAGGGTAAGCAATATCTAGGTTAGGCGTTGATTGTTAGGTAAGGAGGGGACTGTGAAGTTACATCGACTGAAGATGGTTAGGACATGTGTTACGTGTGCGTACCTAGGCATCGCCTTCCTCGACAACTGGCAGTGTTAGCTGACATAGGGTTAGGTTTGAAAAGAACTAGCATATGGTGGTCATCACTACATGAAATTCACAATAGTTAGTTTAACCTGGCCACTTTGTGAGGTGTAGACTTCTTGACTGTTTGGGGTCCTGGGGACGGTAAACACCAATGAAGACTGGAGACAATTGGTGATATGGTTGGCTGGAAATCGTTCTCAGTGACAGCACAGATGCATCCACTCCTTGTGACTTCTATTATCCGATAAAACTATTTTGTTCTTCGATATTATTATTCTTCTTGCCTCATGTCTCTGTTTACTGTCTCTGTTTTGCATTTCTTCTACTTTCTTCTCTTGCTTTGTGTGCTGCATGGAGGGAGTGTGGCAACTCGAACTGCTGCACATCGGTGCAAAGTTCTATGTTGAAGCCAGTCAGTCAGTCTTTTGAACCTCTTTCTTTTACCCTTTGTGTGCAACATGAAGTAATAACGACTTGAACTGCTGCCATTCTGCGTTGAAACTCACTCAGCTAGTTACTTGAAAGTAAATAGTGTTAGGATATGTGTGTGTTTGCGTGACAGTCAGTCGTCTTCGAAATGTGCCTGAAGCCAGCAAATACGTTTCTATGGCATAGATATTCAGTCTAAGGTTAATATGTTAACAGATTTCTACTCGCTAACATATTCTAAAAGGGTGCTAGATTGATTTCAGGAAATCAGATCTCGTAGGTGGTTTATTTCATCAAAGATGTTAGATATGAATACATAGCTGGCTATTTGACTAGAAGTGTTCAGTCTTCTAACAATTTCACAATACGTCCATATTGTTAACTTTGTAAGGAATCTTCATTTATCCAATCTGCTATACAGTTTTTTTTCCTTCACGTTCCCAGTGGGACATAGGGCTTCAAGCTAGAGGCTTGAAGTTTCTGTAGCAGTGGTGTTTATTTTTACAGGATGGGGTTGCTAGCATGCCTCATGCCCAACCTTTCCTCTTGACCAGCTTTTACTTCTGGCTGAGTGAGTGAGGTAAAGGAGTGGGCCAGCCGGGGATGGAACTCCGAACCATGTGCATGGTTGGCGAGCGTCCTAACCGGTATGCCACCGACGCCCTATGGTGGTGTTGATTTTGCGATGGAGCTGGTGTTGTGGGTGCGTGTATGCATGCATGCGTGCGTGTGATGAGATATAAATGGACTGACTGACAGTGTAGAGTGTGATTGGTTGCTGAGAGTAGCTGAGTGGTGGTTGTGGTTTAAAAGTCCCTGGTGGAGGTGGGATTCGAACCCACGCCCTTCCGGACCGATGCCTAAAAGTAGCGTCTAAGACCACTCAGTCATTCCACCGACAGCGAGTGAGATATAATCTCAAATAACCCTGTTAGTACTATTTTCATACATAAGGGGAGACATTGTTTCACTCGGTGACCACCAACTGTGGACACACAAACAAATCACTTAGTTATCGGCTATCGATGAAATAGGTCAGTGGAAGATCTCCACTGTTTCTGCAACACCTGTAAGGACAAAAAAACAATCACAAAACTAATATTACATGATGGTTAATGACAGGACAATTTTGTAATACTCATAGTGCTAATATAGTCGGGTCCAGTAGATACACAAAAAGAGGGAATAGAATAAAGTACAAAAAAGGTAAGCCAATGATAATAATTTTAGGTAGGTAAGTATGTGTAAGAAGGTTGTTCACTATAGAATACAAATAAGGAGAATAAGGGAGAAATAAAAGAGCCAAAATTATGCTATTAACAACAAAGCAAGTCATAGGTTCCGCGCTTAACATTGTCTCTGTCACTTAGAACACGGGCTGGCCAAATATGGTATCGTTGAGTTCCTATACTTGGTTGTACGAGCATATATTATTTTGTACTGGACTTTCATTTGTAAGGGGGGTGGGTTGAGAAGTAATCTGGCTTGGAGGTAGCTACACTAAAGTTGTATAGTATCCAACACTTACCTGAATGGTGTCTAGAGATTGGTCTTCCAACTGTAATTGGGACTGCAAAATCTGTCTCATATCTAGGACCGGATAAAGCAGAAGGATCTGATGGTTTGACTACACACACACACACACACACACACACACACAGAGGTATTTAGGGATAGCAGTTATCACTAAGATGTTAGATAATGTGCAGGAGTTTGAGATAGTTCCGTCAGACTAGTGTAAATCGTTGGTTGTGTCAGTCTTTGTGAAATAATAACAGGAGTACCAGTTAACTAACATTCTAGATTCTCTAGTCCTGCATGAACTAAGAAGCGCTTGAGAGAGACAGACTTCTGGAAACTAGACAGAATATATTAATGATATCTTCAGCATTCAACAGATTCTGGAACAGGGGCATACTTGTCGGTGTTCAAAACTCGGTATATTTCTTGACCCGTAGGCGATATTTAACCCTGTTGACTGAGATGTGTTGTGATAATGTCTAGTGACGAATGTATATTGCACTACATGATGTACGAGGTTATGGAGAGTGGTTATCTGTAGGGGGTGACAACCAGTGATGTCCCTCAAGCATGCCCAATGTTCCCATAATTGTTTAATTTCATCATAGATGTGACTCTAATCGATTTAAACGACTTGAGGATTGATTTTTTATCAAGTTAAAGTTCCGCTAATTTAGAGTTTGCAGATGATATTATCCTTCTGGATAGAGATGCTGGCAAAGCTCAATCTTCTGAACACCATGTGCAGCAGATATCTTTGTATGTCCAGAAAACGATTTACTCTATCCAGTGAAGAAACTGTGCGTCGGTAACACAGTGGTTAGGACTCTCGCCGACCATGCACATGGTCCGAGGTTCGATCCCCTGCCAACGCACACCTATGGTCAGCCTGCAAAATTTGGGCTACCGATATCCACGCTGAAAATTCCATACTTGTACCAAAAAATACGGTGCGGAATCAAGTTGTAATCAAAAATAAAAATAAAATAATATTATTTTAATTATTATTCCCTTGCCTTCCGAGTGGAACATATTGCTGGCTTCAACAAAACGTCTCCACTTTGTTTTGTTTTCTGCCGTCCTCTTCAATTGGGTCTACGATTGACCAAACTCTCTCATCTCTTTCTCACACGATATTCTGTATGTCACTCTAGTACCGACGACCCACTCTTCATGTGCTTTCCATTTAGATTCCACTCGAGGGCCTGGCGTGCGATGTTACTCAGCGGCCTCCTTAATGTATGAGCAACCCATCTATCTTGAATTTCCTATTCTAAATTTGACATCTTCATCCGTTCCGCCGGCTGTGGTTGAAACGATGCTTCCTGGCCAGATAAGGGAAGGAGGTAACCTCTGTTAAATCTCTCCCGTTGCTGTTGATTGGTTATCTTTATCACTTCCGTCTTTTCTTTGTTCACATGCAGTCC